ACTTGTGTCACTCAGTCGTCGTTGGTGTTGTCATCCACAATGAAAAAGACGCCCATGAACTCAAGTATCTTGTGCAATAACTATGCTAATATCAGTTGGTTTGAAAGGACGAATATCAATGGTCAGTTTAGTGAGGATAAGCCAAGTGTAAACGAGAGCGTAATTGTTAAATTGACTTGCATGAATAAAGGCGTTTCTAGTTTCAAGTTACTATTTGAAAGCTATTATCTTTGGTGTAAATTACTCTGTGCCTACGCTTGGTTGACCAGATACGTCGTATGTTTGTTCGTCATCTATGTTCTACGATACAACGACATGAGTGTGTTACCGTTCAGATTTGAGGATATAGCTGATAGAAGGAAATCAGCAAATGAACTCTGCGATGATTTTCCAACCTAGGGCGTCAACCTGAGAAGGAATGTAGGCGTACTGGTGTAAGTCCTACAGTTCTTCAAGGGTAGTTCGTCAAGGCAGAATCCACCACTTTGATGTGCTGATTGTACATGTTTGTGTTAAATAATTGTGTGAGTTCCAATTATTGTAATTGTTGGTTAATCTTGTTTGTGTCCGGACATTCCACAACTTACAATCGTCAACCTGAGAAGGGTTGTAGGCGTACTGTTATAAGTCCTGCGATTCTTCAAAGGAATTCCACCAAGACATGATCCGCGAGTTTGTGTGTACTGTTTGTATATACGTGTGGTGAGTCCTATCAATTGGTGTTTTTAGGTTCACTGTGTTTACTCGTTGTTTTCGTACCTTGTTGTGATTGCGTAATTGTTGCGAAGTTGTTTCGAGTCTTCTACATCCGTGAATGAATTGATTGATGTTAAGTACAGCAGATGGGTCGTATACGCCGGGGAGGCTATCGCAGAGAATGAAAGGCAAACGGAGATAATTGTTAGCTGCGGTCCGACACGCCGGGGAGAAAGAGTGTAAATGACTGAAGCTCGCATACGTCACCGTTACTAGAACTGAGGCAGAATGAGTGACAAGCGATTGCAGTGATAATTGGTAGTGAGTAGATAAGATGATGTGCGTAGAGTATCGTGAGGTGGTGCTATGGTCACGTTGCATTCTGCAAGAGTCATTCTAGCAAGTGGCGATTGTGTTGCAAGATGTCAAGATGATGCCTTTAACTTGAATGCGCAGGTCGTCATTGATGTGTGAGATTGTGCTGTGAGTATGCTTGTGGTGTGTTGGCTTTTCTGTTTGTTTTCCATTCCAGCTCTGTCCGTGTGACCCAGGTTCTCGCAATGACATCCAAGTCAACGTGTATTGGTCGTGATGGAAAAAAGGGATGGATCCCTTTTTTCCCGGGGAGTGTCAATGTAGTTGAAGATTGAACGATCAATTCATGGTTGTTTGCTCAAAACCAACTTCCCCAATTTTCGCGGAGGCATCAATACGACAGTCATCGTCTCATCGGTCGCTGTTCAGAAAGAAGTCAGCAGAAAACCGTCAGAAGTAATATTGTGATTTATTATTGTAATATTTGTTCACAGACCTTAGTGGCAACATTTTTTATATGTTGGTGTAACAATAAAGAATTCTCGAGTGGCCAATCGGTGTTTTGGTTTTCGCGTCCGTTATTACTGAGCGTTTCTGAGAAACTTCAAGGAACAGCGTGAGTCCCAGCGTAGCAAGAGCTGGACATTAACGGTTTATGAGACGTGGCTGACAGTAGCTAATCGTCAAAATCATTAGATATATTTCGGGACCAAATTGGAGTGCGAGACGATTGTTTTTATTTAATACTCGAAAATATATATGTTAAGCTATTTATCGTGCTCGGACGGGACACGATGGAGTGCCAAATCGCGTGGATGCTTGACCGGAAGCCTTTAGCTAAACAAGATGACTTAAACAGTGAGGGTCAGCATTCGTTCTTCAGCGATGAATACTGTGGCCATTAATTCCTGGTAATCGCCTACCTCTACAAAGCTATGCTATGGCCACTCAGATGTATTTTGTAATTGAGGTTCCAGAAATATAGGGTGAGTAACTGAGTTGGAAGTCCATCTTCCTAATGATTTTTATGGCCTTTACCATTTTAAGGTTTTATCCCACTATGCTGATTTGACCATGTTCTTCTCGCTTCACTCGCCTTCTGTCATGCTTTCGAAACTAAATGCTCCTAATGGCGTTGGTCTTCTACATCATTCTGAGCCATCTGTTGGCAATTGGAGTGATAACTTTGACAGATGAGTAAGTTTCTAGAATTCCTCCCGGTAGGCATAGTCCAATATTTTGAGTTTCTTCCTTTTCTTTTTAGCCCCCTATCTGTTTTTATAGAAAAAGGGAAAGACTGTGTTACTCACTGAACCACTGTTGAAAATCAAATGTAATATCTCTTATACTACTTTCTCATATATCACGCGAATACATTAATTTTGTTTTCGATTATTTTTCGAGATCCTCCTTGAAAACAGAAGTGCACAATGGTGTCATGTGCTTGAAAATTATTAAACAATAGGGTGAAAAATGGATTTTCAGATTAGAGGATGTTCACAGATGAGTTACGCTGGAAATAATTTGGTTTTGTCATGGCAGGCAATTTTGGTAAAATCGATAAGCTTCACGCGAGACCATGCAATTTTAAAGTGTTCTTCACCAGATTCCTCATTGCTGATGATACCAGCTCTTGTCAGTGCATAGGAGCTTTTGTTGTAATGTTAAGTGTACGCCTTGATAAGAAGGCTCTATTCACTTCCTTCGGGAACACCCCTCTTGACTACGGATTAGGGGAGGTTTCCTCCATCTCTGTAGAAAAAAGGTTACACTCCATTGGTAATTTCAATAAACATATACAAAATTAATGTCAGATTTCCTGTATTTGGTAAGTGAATTCAACAAAATGTTTGCCTGATAGACGTGTTTTAGTTTTCTACTAATTATGGTGAACTGGCTTCCCAGAGTTACACATGCGTTGTGAAAAATCTCATGAAATTAACCTAAAGAAAGCAGAACACGAGGGGCGTTTGTACGTTAAATTTCAAGTTTGAGGCTTTGATACTTCCCCGTCGCCGCACATCATTTGCCAAATAAGCAATTCTGTTACTAGATATCCCCAAGTTCTGCCAGTTTACACAGTGCTGCCATAGTCAATCAGCTGAAGGTCCAGTGGAGTGTTACTTTTGAACTGGGTGACACCTAGATCTTCTTGTGGGTGTCCGTAGGAGTTGCTGAGTTTACGACAGTCCGGGATTTGGCAGCAAAGAAAGTGTTCTCGGATCTCTGATGAGAGGCCTACAGTAGGCTGCCTTCCATCACAACATGAAATAAATCATAAATGTGTGCTTATATGGTCAGTAAGAAAGCAGGCTTTGGATGTGTGCATATTCAGTGGTGTGAAAGAAATGAACTACTGAATAGTATAGGCTAGAAGTGAATTCAAGGAGAACAGGAATAATAGCGATGGTGTGGTGAAAATAGCAAATAAACTTTAGCGGATGATTCTTATTTAACAAAGAATTTAGTGGAGTGGAATCAAGACGATCGTGTTAATATAATGTGAAGTGGTTGACATAATAAGAGAAGTCACTAGGCCGCAAATGTTTTGACATAGACAACCGTCAAGTAAAAAAAAGTAGAAGAGGAAAATTGGGACAAGTATTTGAAGCGCCAACGCTTATGGAGGATTTCTTACTGGCCGAGATAAGCAAAGAGTCTGGACATACTTCTGTTAATAGAGTCCAAGTCTTCTGTTGTCAACTGCCACCGTTTCGACTGCTGACAGATACAGTTGAGAACTTCCGGATAGATTACTATGAAAAGTTCGATGGCTGAGAACGCCTGCTTGGATTTAGTGAGCGTCGAGAACCTACCAAGTGGGCTGATACCCCATAATTTTTAGCATTTAGTTTCCCTTTTACTCAGTCATACAGGTACATGGTCACGTGATTGCATGGTCAAAGTCCTCTGACTACATCCCATGTAAACAGCTCCACAGGGGCCCTTGAGTTCATAGATGCACACTGGTAAGGCCACGGCTGCTACTTCATTCTAGACTAGCTGTGTAATAACTGGTTTATTTGAGAAAGGTACTACTATTTCGGCTGCACAGGATGCTGTCTCAGTCTGTCTGTTAACTCCGCATTTTAGAGTGTCTGAGGCACTGTCCACTTTGAAGTCCACCTGAAGATACTTGTGTTTTTCTCCTTTGCTATCTATCTCTACCCCTTCTCTTCGTATCAACACGAACTCTCTAAAGAGGTTTACTGGATATCCATTTTCTTGATGTATAGGTCGCAGTTTACACACTTCTGCCTTTATTTAGTCACCTGAAAATGTTCACTTCATTCTGGACCTGAGGTACTTAAATGAGTTTCATTTGTATTGGTGAGGTGCGAAGCTGTGAAAATAGGTAGACTGGCCTGAATAGGAGTTCTTCCCAATAGATTTCTTTGCAAACGTCCATGTGTCCTCTTGGTGAGAACGTCTAGGAAGTATACACTGTTGTTATCTTATTCTTTGAAGCTGAAGTAAACAGCTGGGTAGGTGTGATTGGCACCATCCAAGAGCCCTCTTTTGTTAATGTTCCAATCATGAACGGTGAAAGTGTCGTCTACGTAACGACAATGATATTCAAGCTATTTAGTAGTGTCCCTGATTGACCATTTTCAACTTGTGCCAAAACTTATCCAGCAACGTGGAATCTAGTGATGAGCCCATCTAAGCTTAATCAAATTATCCATAGTAATCAATGCAGTACATAAAATGGAGATTCATAATGCAATTCAACATTAGTTCTTATACCATTTTATCAGGGAATCCCATTGGGATTTTTCTTTCATGGTCATCTGATCAGGTAGTTCATCACTCAAAATCCACCGAAAACAATAAAACTGTGACAAAGTCAGGGGCGAGGACGCAGAGGTCAGGTGGTACATACTTGTTATGTACTTACATATTGGGTATTGAAACCTTTTATTAATATAGGTGACCTTCGAGGTCGCGTAGCTCGCTCTGGTATCGGCTGAAGGTCAAGATCCTGTATAATGTCGTGCATCAAGAAGTTAAAGGAGCACCAGCAATTATTACAGACGATTTTCCCCAAATCCCATCCACGTTTTCGAATCACCTCATGTACTCTGGATGAGATATCTTGCTCTTTTATTCATGAAAACTCCTCTTTAGAGATCACTGGAAGTCTCTTGGTAAGCACCCAGCTAGCATTTTTTTCGGGCGCATTGCAGACTTTTAGGGACAGACTTAGGGTGAATTGCAGACTTTTTGGGGCAGACTTCGGGACACTGTCCCACGTAAGTAGATCTACCCGAAGATTTTGCCCCAAAAAGTGGGTAATGCTCTCGAAAAAAATGCTAGCTGGGCAGTACATTGAGACAGGAGTGCCAGTCAGTATTCATGTAATACGAACCATCATATCACTTTCGATGATAAGCCTGAAACTGAATGCTGATATTTACGTCAAGTCGCATAATTCAGCATACCTACAGGTATGCTGAATCATATATGTTATTATTGCTACAGTGCATGTAAGCACAGCGAATATAACATTATGTTCAGTCCTTATATTCCTGTCACTTGAATGTATAGCTAAAAAGAGTAATGGTCACACTACAAATTAAAGTGACATATCTGTATAGGAGAGATCCAGTTATGAAAAATGCTTTAGTTACTTCAGGGTTAACGACTTTGGGGGTGTTTTCTTTATTGTTCCTATCAGTTCGTAATGAGTGGCGTATGCTTCAATGTTTAACTGAGTGTATCATAGAACTGATCTTTAGCTTCTATGTTTCCCAAACAACGTGCAGTTACCCTCCACCACTGGTCGTTCTGTTTGTTGCGTTGATCACATTGTAGGCATTACGCATTAGTATTAACGTTCTTGTTTCATTAGGGCAAAAAGTATGATGTGCACTTGACTTACTTTACCAGCTAAATAAACCTGAAACAGCATCAAACCAACATATCTACTCATCCGCGTAATCGTCAGAAAACAAGTGATTGGCGAAGTAAATAATTAAACTGACACATTTGTTTGACGTTTTCCATCATGTATTATATCGACCATATACTTGCTTAGTGAATCAGATATTAGAACTACTGCATCATTTTGAGGTTACTACTCTAAAAGTTGAATCTTGGAGACCAACAAGAAATAAAATATAATAGTAATTTGTCTGACATTTATCGCCATTCATGATGGGTTAAGGACTGTTAGTGTTTGATTATGTTTCAAATACTACTACCCTTCCGTCCACAACCCAGTGTTTGAACCCTTGATTCGTTTGATGGCAAGAAACCAAGTAGATTTGCCATATTTGTGCATTTATTTAAAACACCTCGGGAGACTTCTGATTTTAAAGTTTTATTCTGATCTTGGATTGCTGCAGCTCGACATTTGATATGTATGATCGTACTAAATTGATAAATTTGACTGAATCATTATTTCAAGTACTTTAAACGGTGTTGCCAGGTCGGATTCAACCTACCAGAACCATAGTACCTTCGTACTAATCCCAATGAACATTTTTCTGTGCCTCATCTTCCGATATGTGGTCGTATTTACAACAACTAGGTAATATCACATCGAAACGTCGTAGTTCAAACAACATCTGTATATTATATGGTTATTTCCCAGTTTCCCGACATTTTTAATTTGTGTACCTGGGGTCGCGCCTGTTGTCAGTCATCAGGCTCATTGTCCAAGTCAAAAGATATCTAACGGTCTGTAAAATTAATATCCTTTCGGCAAAGTCGTAGATCTGCCGTTTTTAAAGTTCACTATGACCTAATATTTTTTATGCCACAACCATATTGAACTATTTACCTTTACTGTTAATTTCTACTAGGGCACGTATCCACAGTCATCTCCGATCTGGTTTTCTGACTCTGAAGATACGTTTTTAACACTAATTTTCCGTGAACTTCAGAATGTTGAACCTAGCAACTACACTGTAAGTTTCTTGTGTCATTACTTTGTTCCTTATGAATCAAATTTTCTGTAGATTGACCGTCAGTTAAAAATATTGATAACTGAATTATGTCGATACAAAAATGTATCACATCCCCCTGAACTGATTGGTCTTTGTCCAGATTTCCATCCCAAACCGGTAAGTTTTCTTTCAGTTTGTCTAAATAGTGTTGTTTTGTGCATTTACTAACCTACATGTCATTTTGAAGATATGACTGGAGTGAACAGTTTAAGTAGTCATTGTAACACAGAGAGTATAAGTAACAGTAGAATCTAATTGTTCCAATAGAAAGTGGTCATAACTAATCACAAGCTTTCTAACCTCTTTTAGTACTACCTGCGTGTTAAAAGATAACTGTTGGATCAGGATTTCTTGACAGACCATTAGCTTCTGAATGAAATCAGTTAATAATTAGTTAGTTGTTATTAGTTTAATAATAAGTTCTTACGTTTGAGTATGGCAAGAATATACGAATTCATAAAGAGAACAAACTGTCAATATAGAATTGACTTGTAGGGTACTAGTAATGCTGTTGATTAGTTGGACTGTATCAGCCCTCCAAAACGTAATCTGCCTAGTTACTCAGTAAATCATTACTCAACTTGTAAGTAGCAACGATACAAAACTCAAATTAAAAAGGCTTAGTCAATGCTAAATGTTCTGCAGTGAGCAGTATATTTGAGTAAAGTAAAAAAGTTGAGATTATTCATTGGAAGAGATCTAGAATATGGCTTTATTACAAACTCAAAGAACGTGCGTGTTGACAGCACAACGGAAAAGCGCAAACTAGCCTTGAGACCAGTATGTATATATAGAAGTTAAAAAAGAGTGAAAACATTGGAAGGTACACTACAGACACAAGAATCATTAGGATGGTGAGCAATATTTGTTGCTCTGAGGAATGATCTTATTGAATAGCGTTTATCTAGGTAAAAAATTGATGTGTACGATTGTCATGCTGTATAGCATCATTCTCACCAACAGGTTTCACTATAAGTCAAGTGATTTTGTCTTGAATTAGTAAATACGAGCTGGCTGAGATTCACAAAGTAATTTTCCTTGGAAGCTGATGAGTTGGGGAAACTACGGCTTTATTTAGGACTAATAACTGTCATCATCTTTGCTAGATTTTTGTCTGATATGAAGACTTTTTATATCATTCTGTCATAACTGTCATCACTCAGGTTATGTAATAGCATGCTGTTCCCTAAATTCACCTTTTACCGTGTAAAAACTGATTATCACTATGCATGGTTATATAGGCTAACCAATTAGTTGATGTTATATTTGATTGTTATTTAAGGAAAATGTGAGGCACTAAAATATAGTACAGATCGTTATAAGATACATAGTCACCCTGTGACGCTATATATATATAATCGATCCCATATCACTTATAATGTCTCACCAAGTTATCTGCTTAGCATTTCTAGTGATGTAGAGTCTAGGATGGTTATTTTTCATTAGCATCTATTGCATGTTACCCATTCATGCAAGCTTTGACGTGCAGCTCAGTTTCACTGTAGCTTATTATTGTAGGTACTGAGTCGGAGACTTAGATCTTCCCCATGCGTGGAAATTCTGTGTAAACAGTAATCTCCTCTCCCTATCTCAATTATTTAGTGATCTATAGTGTTTTGAGGTACTTCAAACAGAAACTTGTGGTAATTGTGCTTTCTTGTATTACATGAATTGCAGATCTTTGTTGGGCGTATCTTTATGTGATTTTCCCATCCTTAGTATTCCCCTTCATTTGTATACCATTGCATTTTAGTTTATTTATATGATACCTCTTGATCCGTTCAGTTTGTTTTGAGTAATAGAATAACAGAGGCAATGCCCAGACTCAATGTTGCTTTTAATTCCAAAGGTTTTGCTGAATACTTTATCCCATGTCTTTATGGAAATATCATTTAAAGATAAATATTAAACTCCACACTTCTGCTTGCCAGTTATTATTTTGTATATTATTATTATTATTATTGTATCCTTTAGTTCCTAGAGGAACATAGGGCTTCAGCTGCGCACCTCCATTGACTTCGGTTTTCTGACAACTTTTTCACCCTGCTCCAGGTCTGTCCACATGCTTTCATCTCCCCCTCGCATGACCTCCTCCAAGTCACCCTTGGACGACCAACTCGCCGCCTCCCTTTCGGGTTCCACTCGAGGGCTTGTCTAGTGATGTCACTTGATGGTTTCCTCAGCGTATGGCCAATCCATCTCCATTTCTTTCTGCCTATTTGTTTCACAATCGGTTCCTGATTGGTTCGCTCCCAGAGATCCCTGTTGCTGATCTTTTCTGGCCATCTGATCTTGAGTATTGAGCGGAGACAGTTGTTAATGAAGGTTTGAAGTTTGTTTGAGATGCTCTTTATGACTCGCCAAGTCTCTGATCCGTATAGTAGCACTGACTTCACATTGGAGTTGAAAATCCGGATCTTATTTTTGATGCTGATTGCTGTTGACCTCCACACAGATTTGAGAGTAATGAAAGCTTGTCTTGCTTTTCCGATTCTGGCTTTGATGTCCTCGTCAGTTCCGCCTGTAGTTGAGACGATGCTTCCCAGGTAGGTGAAGGAGGTTGTTTCTTTCAGGTTCTTCCCATTTATGCTTATTGTGGTCTGTTGTTGCTGTTGATGTTGGCAAGGAATCTTCATCATCTCTGTTTTATCTATGTTCACGTGAAGTCCTATCTTTGATGCTTCTTCTGCCAACTTGTTACTTTTCATTTGCATATCTTCCAGTTTATGGGAAATCAGACATATATCATCGGCGAAATCCAGATCCTCCAAGTCTTTTGTGTCAGTCCATTTTATGCCTGTTCCCTCGTTGGTTGCCGTTGTCTGTCGCATTATCCAATCAATTGCAATCAGGAAGATCATTGGTGATAGTAGACAGCCTTGCCTCACTCCCGTCCTCACTTCGAAGGCTTCCGTAAGTTTCCCGTTGTGGATTACTTGGCATGCAGCATTGTCGTATAACTGTTGGATGAGGTGTATAATTGTCGATGGGACCCCGTAGTAGCGAAGTAGTTTCCAAATGACCTCTCGATCGACGCTGTCGAAGGCCTTTTCAAAGTCGATGAAGTTGAGATAGAGAGGTGACTGCCATTCCAAGCTTTGTTCAATGATGATCCGTAGAGTGGCGATTTGATCAATACATGATTTGTTTCTCCTGAATCCAGCCTGTTCCGGACGAAGTTTTTCATCTAGGGCTTGTTTGATTCTCTCCAGGATGATGCGACTTAGTATCTTGCTTGGAATGGACAGAAGCATAATTCCACGCCAGTTTTTACATTGACTTAAGTCTCCTTTCTTTGGAAGTTTGAATAAGTAACTGTTCTTCCAATCCTCGGGTACTTTGCCCTCTTTCCACACCTTCTCCAGTAGTGGTGTCATCAAGTCCGCTGTTGTCTCTGGGTCTATTTTCAAAGCCTCTGCTGGGATTCCATCTGGTCCCGGTGTTTTCCCAGTTTTAAGCATCTTGATTGCATTCAGGACTTCTGATTTCGTCGGGGGGTCAGTGTTCACTGGTAGTTCTGCTTCCGTTGTTGGTATTGCTGGACGTGTTGTAGGTGGCGGACGATTTAGAAGTCTTTTGAAGTGTTCAACCCAGTGCTTTCTCTGTTCCACCTCTTTGGTGATTGACTTTCCATTGTCGTCCTTTATTGGCTTAATCTGTGTCGAACGTTTGCCCGAAAGGTTCCTAGTTGTTTGGTAGAGTGTGGCGAGGTCTCCTTTGCCTGCAGCTTGTTCTGCTTCGTTTGCCATGGTTTCATAATATTTTCTTTTGTCTTCCCTGGCACTTTTCTTCACTCTTTTGTTCAGTGTATTGTAGCTTGCATTCAGCTCCTGTTTTTGTTGCTCGTCCGTGCACTGGATAATCTTTTGCTTCACTGTCCTTCTCTCTTCTATTAGTTTCCAAGTGTCCGTAGTGAGCCACTGTTTGTCCTGTCTCTTTTTTCTGCCTAGAATTTCTATGCAGGTTTGGCTCCACACCGTTTTCAAGTTGTTCCAGTGCTTTTCAACGCCGACCTCTTCGCTAGTGTTGATTTGTGTCTCGGCTTTGTCCTTTATGCTTGCAATGAAGATGTCCTTTGTAGCCTGGTCCTTCAGCTTTTGAGTGTTGAACTTGGCTTGTGGTCTATCTGCAGCTCCTCCTTCCCTGAAAGCTTTTAATTTGATTTGGATTGTCCCTTGTACGAGATAGTGGTCTGAGCCAACGTCTGCTCCTCTTCTTGCTTTTGTGTCCAGTAGGCTGCGCCTCCACTTCCTTGAGATTGAGATGAAGTCGATTTGGTTTTTGGTTTGCCCGTCTGGTGACACCCATGTAGCCTTGTGGATATCTTTGTGCTTGTATACACTGCCACCAATCACCAGTTCGTTGAAGGCGCAGAAGTCGGCGAAGAGTTCTCCGTTTTCATTCATTTCTCCTAGAGCTTCTCTACCCATGATGAGTTCCCTTCCCGTATTGTCTGGTCCCAGTTTGGCGTTCATGTCTCCCATTAGTATTTTCATGTCGCCAGCTGGAGTATTGTCCATTGTTGCCTGTAGTTGCCTGTAGAATTCTTCTTTCTTCTCGAGGTCTGCGTTGTTTGTGGGTGCATAACATTGTATGATTGACACTTTCCTTCCTTTGGAGTTGAACCTGGCGGTCATTATCCTGGACGAAATCGCCTCCCATTGTATCAGGGCTTTCGTTGCCGTTGGTGACATCATGATAGCCACGCCCTCGGTGTGCGTGTGGTTATCTTCTGGGTGACCGGAGTAGATCACTGACTCACCTGTTGACAATTTGGTGAGTCCACTCCCATTCCATCTGCTCTCACATATTCCCAGCACTTGTATTCCGTATCTTTTCATCTCGTTGGCGATCTGGGCAGCTTTCCCAGTCTCGTACATAGTTCGGACGTTCCATGTTCCTACACAGACTTTTTCTTTTGGTGCAAGGAGGTTCAACATACTGAAGTTTCTGTAGCAATTTTTGTTTACAGGGTGGGGTTGCTTATTATTTTGTAGACAACATTTTTAGATTTTACTTATCCCTTATTTGTAATTACTATTGCATCTGATTCCAGCTACGTATTGACTCCATTTCAACTTCCGAACCTCCTCCTGCCAGTCCGGAAGGGAATAGCGATGCTGAAGATACAGGTTTCGAAGATGAAGATGTAATACTAAATGATCCGTTCGAAGTTTCGTAAGTTTCATGGATTTTGATTGCCCTCCGTGTCTTTTACTAACAAACCACTGCAATTTTTCTCACGGTCGAATTCATGTTATTTGTATTCACGTCCACTGAAAGATTACTGTTTTATTTCTCAATACTTTTCGTCAATATGTTATACCATGAGAGAGCAAATGAAGACAAATAACACAAGAACCGGTATTACTAAGTACCGCCTTCCTCTCTGAGCAGTGCTAGCTGACATAAGAGTAGGTTGGGAAGGATTTCAGGGTAATCAAACCAAGACCTACCTTGAATTCATGATAATAATAGTAGCTTTATTCCAGATAGTATTTTTAGCACAAATATAGAATTTTCAGCATTTAGTACAGTACTGCGTCGGTGGCACAGCGGTTAGGACGGTCGCCGACCATGCACATGGTCCAGGGTTCGATTCCCGGCCGACGGACTCCTTTACCTCGCTAAGACAGAAATAATGCTGGTAAAGAGGAAAGGGGCCGGCAACCCCATCCTGTAAAAGTAAACACTGCTACAGAAACTTCAAGCCACTAGCTTGAAGCCCTATGTTCCACTGAGAACGTGAAGGAAAAATTTAAAAAAATTATTAGTACAGTACTGCATCTAATTTTCTCATTACAGGGGTAGTAGTTAAAACAGGGCATTTATACTGATAATATTGTTCAGTATGAGTATGAATATAAAAACTGAATTAATTAAAAATAACAGCAGCAGAAAAGAGGGCCGTTCACTTAATGTTTCCGTGTTGGTGATGAGTCTGTTGGTATGGAGCTCCAAAATGTTAAAAGATAGTTACTGTGTGTTCTTCAGTTTGCAATAGGTTCCCAGCTAACGTCGATTCGTAATGAAACAGATTTGGTACCTGTAAACACTAGTACTTTTGAAGGATGACGTTTTAAAATATTTGCTCACTGAAATTTCTCTCAATGCGCGGTTTCACAACAATTTTTACTCGTTAATCTAAATTTTGTGTTGCTAAGCAACAGGGATAACCTTCATATGAAGCTTGACGTCCTTCATATAATTTCTAATATGATGTTGAAAAATACTGAGACATTTACTTTCGAAATGATGAATACTGACGGTCATATTAAAACGACTGCCGTTGAGAATATTTATTTGCTTCTTTGTTCTGTTTATTCGTTCTTTCCCTTATCTTTATAGTATAACAGGAGACGATCGACCTGAGTATGATGGTATTTCATCGCAAGATGCTGAACAACTAGAAAAACTGAAGGCCACGCAAATACAGGTAATGCTATTGTCGTTTCATCGTCAATCATTTGTGAACGTTTGAAAAATAATTACATGCATCCCATCAACTAATAGCTACTTTTTGCACCAGGTTGAACCGGCTTTAAATATTATGCAAAACAAAGTGTTAGTGTTCTGGTTTGAACACTAGACCTTTAAACCTACTTGATTTCTCAAAGCACAGCGGTGCTCTATTTTAAGAAGCCGATGACTGAATGTCAATCAAACAGATTACTAGGAAATAGCTTAAGAATGGTGATGTGTTGTGACTGAAGTATTTTTTGGGTTGAATTGAGATATGCACTAAACTAAGTGCATAGTATCCAGCATTTCTTCTGAAAGTCAGCTTTTATCGACTTGGTTGCTTCCCATTCTCTTTAAATGTTGTGGTACGAAATATGGGTAATTCCTAGTTTTTTCATCGAGCACGTATATTCATCAGGGTTTTTTGTCATAGTCCATCTTGAAATTGTTATTCTCAAAAAGATACCGTAGGAACACTGTCTTTATCGTAATATCATTTTGCTTTTGTTACCTGACTTTGTGCTTATCTAAAGTATAGCAGTGTTAACTGCTGAATTTCTGTGAGAAGTGTCTTCTTCTAATTCATCAGTTCTTCAGCTCGCATTCTTTTAAAACAACTTTGAGAAGCAGTTTAAGACTGTCTGTGAACTATACAGCAAAACTGGCTAACTAGAAAGTCCCCTGAATAACATACCAAATCATCAACTAAAGAAATCTCAGCATCAAAACGTCTTAGAAGTTGCTTTTCTTAGAAACTGCAGTTTCGTGCTGAAACTGTAACACCGCACAAAACAAATGCCCAAAAAACATCGTTCGTCACTAACTTATTCTGGCTATTCATAACTTAACCGATAGCATTTTCGTTAAATAAAATCAAACTACCTAGCTTCTCCACCTTCATGTTTATTATCCATTTTAACTGCTCCTAATGACTTAGTTATATTGATCATGCAATTAGGAATGGTTATCCTCAGAATTCTGAAGACCCTATGGTATGCTTGAACAGGGGAAGGATACTTAATTTAGACAAAGCAGTAAGAAGACATAATTTGTCTGAATCGTGTGATGTCTTCTTATTGCTTTATATAAACTCATAAAGGGAACTAGTTGTTTTAAAGATATTTAATTGTAAGTCTATTTGCAGCGAACATCGCTGATAATAAGTACACCAGTGACATTAACGAACGCCCTAGATTGAATTGTTTTACTACCTATATTCTTTATAAGTTTGTTCTTAATATGTGGAGATGTACCTCATTGGCTTCTGTCTGTCTGTCTGTTTTCGACATAGAACTTTGCACATATGTGCGGCACCTCAAATCGCCACACTTCACTCCATGTAGCACACAAAGCAAGAGAAGAAAGTACCAGAAAAGCATAATAGAGACAGTAAGCAGAGGTGTGAGACAAAGGAAGAGTAATAACGAAGAACAAAACAGTTTCATTGGAAATCATAAGTCATAAGGAGTGGATACATCTGCATCAGCCATTGACAACGATTTTGAGCCATATCACCAATTGTTTCCAACCATTGGTTTTTGCCGTCCCGAGGACTCCAGCCTGGAAGTCTACACCTTCCTACGTGGCTAAGACTAACTGTTGTAGATCTCATTGACTGGTGCCAAGTTTTTGTTTGACCTCCGCTAGCTCTTTTCCAGCCTGACCCTATATCAGGTAACATTGCTCGTCGAGGGAGGCGATGACTAGGCTAGGCATACGTAACACATGTCCTAACCATCTGAGTCTATGTAACTTCACAACCTCGTTGATTGATTTCCCCTGTTTATCTAGAACTCGACGCCTAACCTCAATATTGCTCACTCTATTATGCCACTTAACACGGGAGATAGAACGCAGGCAGGCACCTATGATCAAAGACAGCTAGTTTTTTCATGTCTTCCACTCTCAGTGGCCAGGTCTTACAGCTGGCCATAAAGGAGGACGGGGCGAACTGATGAGCAGTACACACGCCCTTTGGTTGGATATGACGTCTACTAAGCCAGAGACGGTGTAAACTGGCATATGCGAAACTAGACCTCTGTATCCGTGCTGAGATTTCGTCAGTGATCAACACGTTGGCACTGACTGATGGTACTTCCCAAATAAGTGAAGCGGTCAACGTGCTCTACCACTTCACTCCCTATTTTTAATCTACGAGTCGGTGTAATCCAGTCCTGTAACATCATCTTGCATTTGGTGGGAGCGAATCGCATGCCAAACATTCGCAGATTGCAGCTGAAGATGTTTAGGAGACTGTGCATTTTTTCAGCGTCCTCGTCTAGAAGGACTATATCGTGTGCATATTCTAAGTCAACGAGATTATTCCCTGGTAGCAAGTCAATCCCTGAGTCGCTGAAGTGAGTTAGGGTTAAGTCCATCAGTACATCAATGATGAAGTTGAATAGAAAAGGGGATAATGGGCAGTGCGTCCCGGATGGACACCACTAGTCGTCACCAGTTCAGATGACAACTCGCCGTAAGCCCTCACCTGGCTGTATGAGTAGAGTGCCTCTCGGTCTACAGAATCGAATGCCACCTTTAGGTCAAGGAAAATAGTGATTGTTGGACGCCGGTAGGGATTCGTATGTTCTAGAATCTGTCGGAGGGTGAAGATATGATCAATACACCCTCTTCCTGGTCTAAAGTCTGTCTGGTTCTCTCGTGTTTGTGCCTCCCGAGCACCACTTAGTCTACGCATGATTATTGAGCCTAGGACTTTAGATACTATATTAGTCAGGCTAATCCCTCTGTGATTCTCACAGGAAGACTTGCCTCCCTTCTTGTATATGGGGATAATCAGTGACTTACACCAACTCGATGGGACTTCCTCTGATTCCCAGACGCTGCTTAGAACCTCAGTTAATGCAGACAGTAAATTGTCTCCACCGTACTTAAATACCTCTGGAGTCATTCCACCAGGTCCCGCTGCTTTGCCTTGTTTCAGATTGGTGACAGCTTTAGTAACCTGAGTTAGGGATGGAGGACCTGTGTCTATATCCCATTCAGGGAGGTGTTGGCTTAAGTACTTGGCTGTATGTCATTGGGTCGTGGGCTCGAATCTTGCCCCACCTACTTGTGCTTAGGCAAGTGATTGGTATCATCAACTCTCACACAATGAGTTCTAAACAAATTATCAACTCCTTTCATACATTCCCTTAAATGATCTCTTGGTAAGAAACATATGGAGTAACAGTGATCACGGATATCATCTATCTGCCACCAACGTTACACAGCTATTAGACGGTTTTTCCCACTGCTCCTTAACTGGTGACACCGAGATGGTAGGAGAGTCATATTCACATATTGATAATAATAATAATGGCGAAAAAGTGGATGTTATTTTAAAAAGATAAAATCAGTTAGATATCGACTCCTATTTCAATTTTACATAAAGTAGAAGTCAGCGAGATTCATTTGAATAGTTCAAATCTGTATTTTCAGCGAAAATTCGTTTTAGTAGCTTGAAAATCCCCATTGAGTCTTACGAAAAAGAGAAGACTTTCAGCGTAGAGACTCTTTTCGGTGAATTCATTCACATAGCTGTACAATCGCATTTATATATAATTATTTGTGTATGTCTGTGTGTGTACATGAGGTTTGTCAAGTTTAGATAATTGATCAGGTAATAAAAGAATGATCTAATATAGACACAAGGTTAATCAGACAGCAACTAAAGTAAGATTGAGTTAGTAAGTTAGGTGACGTAATATAATTGACTAAAATGTTTTAACTTAGGTCAGGTTAGCAACAGAGGTAGTTACAGGTAGACACTAAGTAGAAGTGGGGTAGAGATTAATGCCATTTAAATTAGAACTGAAATCGAGCAAATATGTTGGATGACGTAACATAAATGATTAGAAATTGACCGTTGGTCAAGTCAGTAACAGTGGTAGTGAGGTGTAGAAATTAAATCGGATGGGGGTAGAGAACAAGAAAGTTGAAAGTGTAAAATATTACAATTGAGAAGACAAAATAATACTAATGAAGAGACAGAAAAAAAGATTAGGTAGAATTTACTTGTTGGGTAATAAGATAGTTTACATCCAAGTGTAGTGATTGAATGTACTTCTTCTGCATGCAGAGTTCAGGACTTAGCAAGTGAATCGCCATTGCTTCTGAAGTTTGAAGAAGTGTGATTCGTACACCTTTAGGATGACTACTTCTTACTCTGTTGACTACTTTGAAGTTTGTTTGGGGTGTAGCTTGGTGTGCGGATTCTATCAGATGTTCTAAGATATGGAGCTGTGGGGACATCGTTTTTCTCCTTTGTAAAACCATGTTAGTAAGTGTTCGGTGATACGTTCGGAAAGCGAACGCTGGGTACGGCCGTTTTACCTCTTTTTAAAATCTTGATCGTACACTGGTTTGACGTTTTTTTCTAACTGTAAAACGACAAATGTTTCCCCTCCTCCATATTCAAATTAGCTTGGATATCTTGTTAACTTTGTTTCTTCACCTTTATTCTTTCTAAACACTAAGTACTTGGTGAGATCAATAAGTTTTCACTTTCTACTGTCACACGGAGTATGCATTATGTAACAGTCTATTCTAGCTTACACGACTCGGCTGTAAAATTACTGCTATTCTCTAACTTATATCTCAAATTTACAGAAGTTGGAATTCATAGGCCGGTGGATAAGCTTGCCTTGTAACCGGGATGTCCTGGGTTCGAACTCCTGTAGTGCGTATTTATGAAGCTCCACAAACTTGGATGAAACAGCTGTCCAGTACTTCCAGTTTTTCAAATGGTTCTCTAACTGATGTCACCTTTGGTCAAATATATTCTCTAAATATATTACTTCCATTTTCTTCTTTAATTAACGTCTGTTAAGATATTGTAGCCAGTTAACCTATTCCCACTAGATTTGTGGATTCTGTTTTGTTTAAAACATTAGTTCAATCTTGATCAATAGATCAAGATAAGGCTTAGGAGATTTCTTGTCATGCCTGCATCTTTTTTGAGCATTCAAAATTTCTGACTTGCATACTTCCGTTTATTTGGTCGTGACTTATTACCTATTGAGTAGTCTTTGTAACTCAAAGAGCATTGATAGGCTATAGCTCAGAACTACTGTCACAATTGGAACTTACAGTCAATTCGTGAGTGTCTGTTTGCAAACACTTTATTTGTGCAACATAAATTATTGAATTACGCATTTTAATGAGTTTGCACAAAATTCTGTTTGTGTCTGAAAAGGTGATAATTCTTAAAGTTATTGCACACATTTTTATGTCTCCTCTTCCGTATCCACTGCCAGTGTAATTTAGAAGCTCAAAAAGCTCTTCATGTTTCTTTGTTTTTGTTAGAAATCAATATGTATATGTTAAGAGTTATCTTCGACTATTCTTATTACTTATTAAAAGACCTTACTTTCACCGTTTTTTTATTCTGTCTAGTTGTATCTACCTTCCCACCTACCTACCCGCGTCTTTGTCGAAAAAATAAAAATGGCTAGCGCAACTAGGTATTATTTTCCGATTTATGTCTTTTCTTCTCTCTGTCCTTGTTTGTCTGTTTAACATTAATTTTCTTATAGGATTCTGTTGTCCTTATCAATTTGTTTAATATTACTATTTTTAGGGCGTTACCAAAGGTTCACTCCAATCATCTGATCGTCTAATGAAAGAGCTGAGGGAAATCTATCGATCAGACAGTTATAAACGAGGTGGGTTGTCGTTGATGTTGTGTGTGTGTGTGTTTTGTTCCTTCTGCTTTTATCTCAGTACCTATTGACCCGTTTTACTACTTATTTTAGTGTTCACTCTGGATGAGCTCTTAGGAAGTATAACACATAGCTTACATTGTTTTCTTGTTTATAGGTATTTTCACTGTTGAATTACAAAATGACAGTCTGTATAACTGGAAAGTGAAGTTGTACAAGTAAGAATTCGATGTGCATGTTTTGTTTTAACACAGTTTTTTGTATTCCAATTTCGATTACTCTTTGTATAAAGTAGTACTTTATTATTCATTAATGGTTTAATTCTTCTACAGAAGGTACTGGCTTTGCAACGGTTACAAACACATCTTATCTTGTTCTAAAATGTATATCATTTAGGTTCAGTGTTGTTTACATAAGTATTTTACCATTCCCTTAGTGCTAAATAATACAATTAGTTCATATACTAAAAACACTCCTGTATTTACATCTTAAAAGAAGTAATTTATCTTAAGGCTTTCATGGAGTTCGCTGATATGCTGTGTAGTTTAGTTCAATAGCCAAATTGTATTATTTCATCGATGATGGAGATAAGAGTGTCTTCCTATTCGTCCGCCTATTTTTGTGCTTAGTTTTAACATCTCTCAATCTAAATTAAGCGTAACAGAGTTTAGGTTAAAATGATATGATACGCAGCTTAAAATAAGCCGCCGACACTGTGTAGAAATAAAAGACAAAAGTTAGTTCAACAAAACCTGCTTTTTGCTTTATAGTATGGTCGTTGCTTGGTATTTTCCCCCCCGTAAAATGAGGACTGTTTCAAACAGGGCTGTTTTTTTGTATGTTCATCTTGAGGCATATTCGGGGTAAATTTAAAGCCAATAGGTTATTATTTATTCAAGAAAGAATTGATGTGTATATGTATGTATATACTATTCAAAGAACAAAACGAATTAACGATATAGCGCAACCACTAGTCAATGTCATCGGCGAGTATTTTTCCTCATGCCTGACCTGCTGTACCCCACTGATCACGACTTTTCACTAGAAGTTGGAATTCTCGGGCCATGGATCAGGTCCCATTGGCTTAAAGTTCTACGCACTCCCCTTGTGACCGGAAGGTCTTTGGGTCTAAACCCGGTGGGTACGCACTGTTGAAGAGTCCCAAACCAGGGTAACGAATCATCTCTCCAGTACTCTCAAGTTTTCCAGTGATTCTTTAACCATTGTCAGCTCATGATGAAATCCTGTAACCAATCAAATCCCTGAAATTCGAAACGAATAAATTCATTACACATAATATTTGTTTCCAAAAACTCTCAATAGGTAACCTTACATCTCTGTAAGACACAAACAGTACCAAGTCATTGAAAATCAAAGGATCCATTGCCTAAAACGGACAAGTTGTCTGTCATGCTATCTTTGTTTTCATAATTATGTATAAAAGCGTGAAGGATAGATTATTTCATTCTCATCTTGAAGTACAGACTTTCTTTACCTTTGCATTGATATCTCATAAATGACCTCAATTATAATTCATTATAAATTATTTAAATTAATCTCAGCGTGTTAAGAAAATCAAAACAAGAGTTTTTTGAACGTTTCGCTGTGTAAGCCACAGCTTCTTCAGCAGATTTATTCGGATTTTTATTAATCATCAAAATATACAGTCAGATTTTTTTTACATAAATTGAAGTCAGTTTCTTTGAAGGTCATTTGTCCATGGACATTTTTACCAATAGAAATATGTAAGCAGTCATCACATATATTTGTGATGACTACTGTCAAATTGTTGTTGTGTATACTCTTCTACAGTTGATTTGTAAAGACCTACGGTCTGGAAACTTATAATCTCAATTATAATTGGCTAAATATCTCCGTATAATTGCATAATCTCAAAAGACTTTAATTTTCCGGGTTACTTTTTATCTTTTATCAGCTTATGAATTTCATAGCTTTTCTGTCAAATCACTAATTCTTCCTACTCAGATTTCTGGTGAAATTTCAGCTTGCAACTATAAAGACTATGCTAGTTCGCAAGTGAATATTTTATCTCAGTAGGACACTAAAGCTCAAATGATATTCATCAACGCATAGCAGCGAGACATAAATACTCACAGTTATCCATTTTGTTGCACCTTATTCTTTGCTTATAAATGGTACCAACGTTTGATGCCTGGTCATATATATATATATATATATATATATATATATATATATATATATATATATATAACATTTAAAACCTTTTATGGCAAAATTTCCCGCGAAACCTATTGGTCAAGCCATTTTCTGCTCAAGTAATATTTTGAAAGACTTAAGACATCTCAAATATATCCCCTCTCCCTATGGTGTCGACTAGTGTTTGTACTAACCGAATATTCACTTCATTTTAGGCCCACATCCTCCAAGATTTGTTCAAAACATCGAATTCAATCATTTTAGTGTACTTGTTACTGAAAGTATATGTGGATTTTTGAACGCATCCGAGATAACATTAGCATGTTACTTATCGAACTTGAATTGATTCAATTATTATATGGTATTGTATTCTGTAAAGATAATAATCTGAGTGTCATCAACGCATCTGTAACAATACGTTATTAGTTTGATTGTTGAACTGAAGTGTATGTCTACAGATTAAACTCGTAAGTTCGGATCCTACAGACAAAGTCATGACATTTCTCAGCTGTTTGTCGATGAATTCGGTTATTAAATGAAAACAGGATATCTTTTGTGCAAAGATTAATCAGCTACCTGGTTTATATTTCGGACTGTGGTAACGAATTTATATACAGTCAAATTGTCTATCGTTTCAGTTACTACTATACTCGTAAAGAAAGTGGCCTCATCATCTAACAGCATATGTGTCTCATAGGTCGAAGTTGTTTATTACTTGAGGAGAGTGAAAAGCATTTTCATACTCCGAAAATCAGGTTTATTTTTAACAGAACCCCAAGTATCGGTGCACTGTCGCTTCACCTTTTATTAATATCATATTGTGCCGTAAATTCAATCCCTCAGTTTGTTAAAATTTATCGAAGAATTCACAGATGTCGTATTCTGAATGTACGAACCATCCATATGAGCTACAGATGTTCCTCATTATTTTACAAGTCTTTGTTTTACATTTTGTAGAGTCGATGAAGACAGTGGGCTGCATAAAGATATCCAGGAACTTAGTAATCATCCAAAGTTAGAGAATCACCTGGGGTTGCAGTTCTTGTTCAAGGTTGGTTATTTAAACTGTATAGTTTTCACGGTGATCATTTATTTCTATTTAGCTAAACTTTCGTTTCACTTCGATTTGATGCATTATAAGTGTAGATCTCACACAGGGTATAAGGCGAGTCAAGTATTTCGCTTTCTATATAACATTTCTATCACTAATTACCTAGGTAAAGAGGTTGTCTAAAGTGGGTTCCCCTATTTCATCAGTAAGAAAAAAACTAAAAGTATACTGTAGGCAAGTGTGGAGACCTCGTTGCATTTCATATAAAATTTGTTTTTAGAGTGTCATGTTTTCGTTTGATTCAATTATGCTCTGGATGTGTATCACGACTGAGAAGCAATTCTCAAATTCAAGAAAATCTCTCCAATATAACTAGTCATGTTTTGCGTTGAAACTCGTTTATTCACTGTTTGATAAAGTTGTCTGTTTAGACATCGCTTATCCATCTGGTCACTCAGTTTCTACCAATGATCCATGGGATTGAGCTGCCTCTCTCTAGCTAGATGTGTGAGTATAGTATGTTTTACTTTACTTTCTGATATGTATCCATATATATATGTGTATATAGTGGTCTCTATTTCTGTTGCTCTCTTAGTCTGTGACCATTTCACTTTGATGAACCTGTCTCCTTTAACAATGTATATTCCCCTTATATTATACATAATATGTGTGTTTGTTGACAGTCTGATCTTGGTGATATATATCCATATAATATGTGTGTTTGTTTGACAGTCTGTTATATTTCGCTATGTATATATGGATCGATACTCCATTATAATTAGCCAATCATGTTAAGACTGTCTATTGATTTGTTCACACACTTGGTTGGACGTTCATATATATTTTGCTCTCACACTGTTGTGTGATACATATTTGATTCTCCTTGTGTTTGGAAAATAGAAGTATCATCGCAAACCTAGTGGTCTTCTGATTTCCGTCTTTCTTGCGTCAGGACTATTAAATTCTCGACCAGTACAACATAATAATTTGGCGACGAGTACATAATACTTTCACAGATATAGTTCATTACCAAACGTCTGACTGATTGAGTTTCAACTTAGGACTTTGCACATAACTGCAGCAGTTCAAGTTGCCACACTATATAGCACACAAAGATAGAGGAAAAGAGAAAAATTCAAACGACCTGCTGCATACAGACAATCACGGACAATAATTCGACTGGGACAAAGTTCAAACATTAGGTAGAGGAAACACCAAGAACGTCAGAGAATTTTCAGAAGCCTGGTATTCCAGTGAATCGGAAATTAACAAAAACATTGACATAGATAAAATTTACCAATCCATAAGAGGTAGATCTCACGCACAAAAAGTCAGACTTCAGGTCAAGGAAACAATCAATACCGATTCATGCGGATAGAATGTGTGAAAACAGACAAAAGCAACCAATCACGTTCAAGGTCACTAGAAGAGATAATAAACTCGTAGGCAAATTTATAAGCTCACTGCAAATTGAAGTTTGCACTAAAGATGTTGACCAGCGAGTTAATGAGAACTTCGCAAGTGAATCATCCACCTGAGCTACAAATCTTCTCCAATATACCTACATCTCTAGTCTCTTTTGCGTCTTATTTCTATGGTAGTTCTGATTTAATTGTAATGCGAGAAATTAGATTATGCGGTCTAGTGGATAACAATTTCGTATTGTTTTAAAAGTAATTTCAATGTTTTCGTCAGTATCATTATTATCTTATAAAATTATCGTTTAAAATGAATGAGAGACAAGATTCATTCTGATCTGTTATTGTAAGGTAGCGTGTCATACTTGAGTAGAACTTTTGGATAAACTATGTGATAATAAGCAGTTGTCTCTCCATTGCTTTCATTTGGATATTACCGCATTGGTTATCGATATAATTATGTTACGTTGAGATACAATGACCAGTTTGTCAGCGATGGCGGTAAATAACAGTGTAGCTCAACCATGAGACGATTCATCAACAACAATAATAATAAAAATAACTGAATTAGTATTTGTGATATTATTTTGCGATATTACTGAAATCGCTGTTGTTAAAATGTCAGAAAATGTAATTGATGGAAAATTCATAATTCATGCTAATAGTAGATGTGTGGTGAGAGCAGGTTGCTAGCCATTTGGTAGACATTAATCTACATCAATGTCTAGGTCACTAATATTAGCCGTGAGAAAATATGAGCAAAGCTGATTCAACAACCAATCACAGCAGACTTAACGTGGGCAAATATGATTCGCAGATAGATGGCTCCATTTTCCGAGGTTACTCGAACACAACCAATCAGAAGCCTGTGTTTGTCCACTTGAATAAGCCATAATAATGTACAGGAAAAATATATAAATACGTGTTGATTTCCCTAATAAAACGATCTGTTGCCTGGCCCTTGTCTTCTGTTGTTACAGATGTAGTTGTTTAACTAGAAATTCTGAGTAGCAGTTATACTTTCCTCATTTCAATAGAAAGTCTGCATGGTACACACTTTGAGGTGTCGCAGAGAAGTTTTTCGCGCTGTTTCAGAGCTGCTAACGTTGTTTCATGGTTGATTCTGTTAGCAATTAAATATTGCCGACTAGGTGATTGTTAGATATCAAGGATCACTCATTAGGTGTCTCGTTCTGGTATAGGGTATTTCGCCAATGGATGAAATAGCGGTTGCACCATCAGTGGAGGCTGAAAATCGTGAGCTAGTGAACTCCATCCCAGCAACTAAACGATGACATGATTGCCTTGTGACATAATGATCTTAGGCTAGTCTTCTTGCAGTTTCGGGTACTCGCCTAGATTACTAGCTCGCTAGTTTTCTAACCGGTCCCAAGCCCGGATAAAGAGGGAGGGTTGGGGCGTGGTGCTAGCAACTCCACCCCCAAAACTTGACCAAATCGCTACAGAAACTTCAACGCACAAATATATTTAAAAAAATTCGGGTACTCACTATTACCAAATACAGACGGAGCAACTGCCCAGTGCTCCTGAAATTCTAAGTCAAATCTATACAAGTGTAACAACTGATTATGACTGGGATTTTAGGTTAATTGCGTTTATCTTTCAACTTTCAATCATATTTTGCTGTCACTAGTAGTGAAATCCGGAATCCTAGTCTCTTTTCATTAGAGGCTTGTCAGCTGGATGTATCTGCCTCCCTGCTTTGGTTGACTTAATCAACCCAGCACAAAGAACAAGATTTGGATTTTCAATACAACTGTGAAATCGGTCCTTCTATACGGGTTAGAAACTTGCACCGCGGGCCACGTAAAGGATTTCTAACAGGCTACTACAGACTTTTATCAACAGCTGTCTTCGCTGGCTCCATACTGAGGATCAAATGGCCAGAAAGAATCAACAACGAGAAACTCTCACAACAAACCAACAGTCGAGAGCCGATTGCTCAACAAATATGTAGGCGGAAGTGGAGATGGATCGAGCATACTTTGAGAGGAGGCCGTCAAATGACATCGCGCTCAGTGCAGGCCATCGCTCTAATGGAATCCCGGTGGGAAGCGACGAGTAGGTCATCGGTGTGAGGGTGACATGGGAGAGTTCGTGCAAGGAGGAGATGAGAGGTTATGGGCAATCGTCTGGCTAACCAAATGAAGAGGACAGCAAATAAAACAAAGTGGAGATGTGTTGTTGACACTGTTTGTTCCACTTGGAACCCAGGGGAATAATAGTAATCTAGCTGGTGAAAAGTGTTTGCCTGGTATTCATTCGCTTATGATTTTTCACCTACATTCCTCTTCACGTGTTATGCTGTAAAGCTGGCATGGATGTCATATCTATTATGAACTATGAATTTTATCAATTATTTATATAGTCATAGTTTGTGATTTACCGTTTTTACATGGCTTCTCTTTCATATTTTTTGTTACACTCTTGTAGGAAACATACCCTTTTGAACCACCTTTTGTGCGTATTCTCTATCCAGTCATTGAAAATGGTTATGTTTTAGCTGGTGGAGCAATATGCATGGAATTGTTTACTAAACAAGGTTGGTCAAGTGCTTATGATATTGAATCAGCTATTATGCAGATAGCTGCCACCTTGGTGAAAGGTCGAGCACGCATAAATTTCAGTGCAACAGATGTAAGTTATTTGTGCTTCCTAAAGATAATGTCATTATGGTTTTCAGTCTTTCTCTAGAATTTTTTTTGTCTTTTGTGTTTAAATTGATAATCATCAAATGATATTGCGTGAATGACATTAAATAGTCGATTAGTAGTCATTAGTTATTGTTTCTATTTCCACTTCAATATAATTGAGCTCCACAATTAAGCCAACCAGCTCAGAGAACATAACTAATTGTAGATCATCCACCTGAGCTACATATATTCTCTATAATTTAGCTTCATTTGTTACATTGTGTTACTTGCATACATATACAGCCATGGTGTTTAAGTGATATAATTTTGAATGATTTATTTATAGGATATAAACGCTCATATCATCATTTCTTCATATAAATCAATGCTAGACATATTTATTTATTTATTTTTCGAGGGTATACGTTTTTATGAGCGATTGTTCTGTTGTTTTTATTCATCTGTCATGTGTTTTCTTTTTTGACTCCTGAAGGTCATTTAAGAGAATTACATAATCAATTGAAGGCTGTAAAGTTCTATAAGATAGACGAAGAAAATAATGTGTGATGTTATCATTTAAATTAATTCAAAGTATGACTATATATATCTGCACTACAGAAATAAATTAAAGTTGTATGACATATATTCTCTAGTCATTAGGTCCATTTAGTTGTATCCAATCTATATAGGTAACTTTCACTTGCCTACATGGCTGTACAAAACTGTTAGTGACATCATAGAAGGATCTGATGCCACGTTTTTTTTCACTCATTTTTGAACTTCAATATGTGTTACATTAAAGGTAGACGGAGAATAACCGTGGGTGGTGGCACTTGTCTCCGCTATCTGTAGCGATGAAGGCTTAAAACTTCCACGATTGACTAACCTGTCTTATGTGGTACTGTTTGCCTAACTACGAAAAAGCTGATATTATTGTCTTACCAAACACTACAAAGACAATAGTGATCCAGATATTTGCAGTCTTTTTTTTACTAACCGTCCATTTTTAATGATCATATGAAGTAGAATACAGTTAACTCAGAGGCTCAATCAGCAGTCAGATTTCCGTGTGCTAAATGAACTTTTTGTACATGTGCTAAGATCTCATCATTTACTGAGCCACTAGAACTAATGTGAACTGCCAGTTAAGTGTAATGGCTGATATACTATTTTACTTCATTTCCTCTTAATAGGTTAGTGTTGATGGGGAAATATTCACTTGACGTGTTCCATATTCTCTTTCAGTCAGTCTATTTCTTTCGTATACTATAGGCCAATTAAATATTATTCCATGAGGTAGTGAAGTTGTATGAAGTTAAGTGTGGAAATAGGGACCTATATAAGGTTGAGTAGAAATAAGTAAGATAAATTCCATATTAGTTTGTTTATCAAATGTACCACACAGTCAGTAAAATAGTATTATTTACTGGACGACGTTTCGAACAAAAGTTATTGTTCATAATCATATCAATAAGTAAGATAAATACCAATGTCGTAATCACCGAATTTATATAGGGATGTGCAACTTTTGCCGTAACACAAGAACATCAATTGTTACTAGCTTAATTATTGTATATGAGTGAGAGGGTGATATGTATCCACATGATGTGTGTTTTGTTTTTGACAGTCTATTATATTTTGCTATGTGTATATGGATCGATATTTCATTATAACTGACAATACGCTTTTGTCTGTCCACTAACTAAATAAACACGTATGACCTTATTATCACATAACATTACAACCAATCGTGGTAAGACGTTATCTTATTGGTCCATGTGTATTAGCCATTTTCATATGTACTCTTGCCTTGTATTCTTTTATATATTCTTGTTCACACACGTTTTTTCGTACACTCGTACCATTTCACTCACACTCTTGTGTGACATTTATTTTCCTTGTCTGGAAAATACAGGTATCATCGTAAACCTGGTGGTCTTCTGATTTCCCTCTTTCCGCGTCAGTACTATTAACTACTCGACGAGTACATAACAGAGGGTCAACTTATTGCATGCAAAGTTACTACTACACACTGATAAATATTTGTACTTCAGATTACGTCATCCTATATTAGCTATGGAATGCTGATAAAATAGTGATTGTTCAAGGAGTAAAACTGGTAATCCATAAAACCTGATTAGAACTAAGTAATATATATCAAACAAATAATCCTACCGAAACAACAATTATATTGAATTTATTTGGACTGTATTAAGGTAAAAGGAGAAGTAGAATAATAAATTTAACTGAAAATTCGTTACTTCAGTGATATCACTGTTGTGCCATTGGTGGTTCAGTAGCAGAATGCTCATCAACCACTCACTTGGTCCAGGGTTTGATTCCCGGTCGATGCACTCTTAAACTTTGCCTGGTTTACTAGCCCGTAGATAGTAAGGTTGGAAAAGAAGGTGAAGATGGGTGTAAAACTAGCAAATCCACCCCTTAAAAAACAACGCGAACTCTACCAAAACTTTAGAGCTTTTGAAGCCTTATGTGTTCCACTGAGAGTGCAAAAGAATGGAAAAAATGACATCACTACCTGTAGAGGTGATAGCATAAATATATATTTATGATCCCTGGGGGTTCGTTCGTAGTATTTTAATTTAGAAACTCGGTCAGCAACAGATTTTCCCACTTGAAGGAACCTTATTAACCTAATTAGTCTTATTTTTTTCTAAAAATATGTCAAAAATTTCACAATCTTTGTAGACTAAAGTTAAGTAATTAGTCAAGTTTATTTGAATTATTCAATAACCATGCATGAAATATGATCTAATTTATAATGATAGACAACTGAGGTTGAACGACATTTTGCTAGGCTATTAGAATAAATCTGTCCAAATACTAGTTCACATGTAATCGTAAATCTCTTTGGATGAATTAGCAACAAGTTTTGTTGTCAGTCTGATAGAACCATGGGCACAAACAGTTTCAGGTATATATGCACTGATGTGAAATTGCACAGTGAGTTTTATCGAGAAAAAACCACTCTAAACTAAAAAAAGTATTTTAAAAAAGTGAACCAAATAAACACAATACATCTAAATTGAAACTAATCCACTCTGTACAATTAATTACTTGAAAATTAATCTGTTACACACCAGTGATTGATTATAGGATGAAGGTGTCCGGAGTCCTAATGAAACATCGTGACCAATGAAGTCCACCAAGTTGGATGTGAAGGTAAATACTCATCGATGATGACACTGCCTGGCGGTTGCATCACATATCACCAATTGGGCAGAGGTTACAATTCATGTGGGATTGGATTCCTTCATCCTGAGTGGAATGATCAGCAAGCTCGTCTCGTCAGCCGAAAGTTCTGGGTTCGATTCCCGGTGAAGTTACGGCTCCGTACTACTGAAGAGTCCAAAGCCAGAACGAACACCTACCCAGTACTTTACGGTTTACCACGGTTCGCCAAACTGATTCCAGTTTGTGATTTAACTTAAAACGAAAGAAATAACTTGATACATACCTAGTATCTCTAAAACTCTACTAACATTGTTGTTGTGTAAGTTGTGTTCAAAATGAAGTTCAATTAATTATCGTTTGTTATTGTTTCTAATACCTTATGAAGAAACTACATCATAGCTTTCTGGAAATTAATGTACACATGTTTTATGTAACGGATATGGTGACACATGATAATGTTATTTTTTATTGTTGTTATCTTGGACACAGTAGTCACTGACACGCGTCGGTGGTACAGCGGTTAGGACGCTCGCCGACCATGCACACGGTCCGGGGTTCGATACCCGGCCGATGCACACCTGATATTAATGGTCGGCCCACTTAATTTGAACTACCGATATCACACACTAGAAATTCCATAGTTGTACCAAAATACTGTGTGGAATCAAGCTGTGGTAATAAGAAATATATAAATAAAATAAATTTTACCTTGTGAAAACTGTCGTTAGTATAATACAAAAAGTCAGACTAATAAAGAAATATTTATTATTGTGTATTTTTGTCATTTGTTACTATTTCGCTCTCACTTTCAGGGAATTAAGCGAATGTTTTTCATCTTAGAATTTTATTTTTAGGATTAGATCACTGATGAATTTCCATATACACGGTTGACTTACTGGTTTCAATGTAGAACTTTGCACAGATGTGCACCAGTTCAAGTTGCCACACTCCATGTAGCACACATAGCAAGAGAAGAAATGTAAAATAGAGACAGTGAACAGGGATATGAGACAAAAGGAATAGTAATAACGAAGAGCAATATAGTTTTATTGGATATTTTATTACACAAGAAGTGGATGCATCTGTACCATTGACAACGATTTTGAACCATATCACCAATTGTTTCCAGCCTTCATTAACGTTTACCGTCCCGAGGATCACAACTAGTCAGGAAGTCTACACCTTCCTACCTGACTGGCTTAAACTAACTGTTGTGGATTTCATTGACTGGTGAAGCCATGTTTTGGTTCGACAACCACTAGCTCTTTTCCAGCTTGATCCTATGTCAGCTAACATTCCCTGTCGAGGAAGGCAATGTCTAGGCGTACGTAACACATGCCCTCACTATCTCACAGCCTCACCGATTGATTTCTCCTCCTTGCCTAGCACTTGATGCCTAACCTCAGTATTGCACACCCTACTATACCGCTTCACACGGGAAATAGAACGCAGGCACCTATGATCAAAGACAGCTAATCTTTTCATGTCTTCCACTCTCAGTGGCCAGGTCTCACAGCCAGCCATAAAGGAGGACGGAGCGGACTGATAAGCAGTACACCCGCCCTTTGGTCGATAGCTGGATATCACGTCTACTAAGCCAGAGATGGTGTAAACTGGCATATGCGAAACAAGCCTTCTGTACGCGTGCTGAGATTTCCTCAGCAATCAACCCGTTAGCACTGGCTGATGCGAATTCCCAAATAAGTGAATTGGTCAACAGGCTCAATCATATACATGTTTGAATATAGAATAGCCACTATTTATCCAATGGAAACTTTTTTTATCATTAATCATACACCATAAAAATATATTGACTCATAGTCACTCATAAATTTGTGATTAGTAATGCCTAGAATATATATAGTCTCAGTGGAGAAGATTCACAGCTCAGATGGATTTTTTTAACATCGTTGTGTTCTCCGAGCTGGATAGTTCAATTGCGAAGTCATCACTGATAGTCTTCTTAAAGATATATTTGTTCTTATTGATGATCAGCTTGCAATATCCCTAATGTTCTTCATTCTATATTTTCACTGGAAATAGGGAAAACTTTATACACTAAGAAACACTATACTTGTATACACTGCAACTGCAATTAGTGGCGGCAATTTACCGTTTCCCTCTGTTATATATTCAAAGGAAACTCTCTCGCTAATCAGTTATAAAGTCACAGATTTCTGGTTGTCAGTAGAATAGTTATTATAACTCCGTGACTAGTAGTGCACACATGCATACATACAATTTAGTTATCTGACAGTCTAAGTTAAACTGTTACAACATGCAATGAAGAAACTATTATAATTAAAAGAGAATAGAATAATACAATTGGTGAATGGTGGCTAGCAGTGGAATCCAGGATGCGCATTTCGTCCTATTTGGGACTCGTCAGCTGGGTGTACCTGCATTTCTCAGTGAGTAATGATGTTCCCACTGAGGCTCGAAACCAGTGCCCATAGTTTCAAACGCCAAAGCGTTATCCACCAGACCACTTGGGCCGCGAGAGCCACCTCTTGTGCAACGGGTCATATTAATTATTGAATTGAATTTTTGATTTTCCCGTTGATTGATTGGATCGAAGTGCTCGGTCTCCACCGCCAATTGTATACAAATCAAATCCCCAGACATCGTCGAAGCATCTGCACAAGTAGCCGACATGTCAACCTGAGACCGAGCACTTCGGTCCAATCAATCGACGGGAAAATCAAAAATTCAATTCAATAATCGAGAATAGAATAAGTTACAAAAAAAGAAACCAAGATAGCAAGACATCTATCTTCAGATCACTAATCCAATCACAAACAATATGACTTTTCATAGAATGAATTCTTAGTAAGAAGCGTTTTCACTAAATAGACATAGGGTTGAACTTTCCTAGTTTTCGATGATTTCAATTTAATTGGCATACATACAAATGCAAACGTACATTTGTCTATCTCCAACCTTCTGATGATAGGGTATACAATAATCTGAACACATTGACTAATTCTGCATGATAAATCTTTTGGTAAGTGCTGCTTATAATTAATGAGTTGTCCACTATTAAAGTAGCTAGAATAGTGCTTCAAAAACTAATCTACATAGGTGGATAGGTTGGTGGATGTGAAAACTGTTGTATATTTTAGATTGTTGTGTACGAGAAGAATACCGCTGTTCGGGTTCCATAATGTCACCAAAATCGTATATGGGGCGATGCGATTGACAATAACAGTAGTGCTGCGACTAGGATTCAACAGGGATGGAAATAAGTAGCTCGTCTAAAGACCAACTACCAGTACCCATTTCTAATCACTCTTGATTCCCAGAGCCCACGCAAATAAAGATGGAAGACAGACTGGTTCAGGCCAGTGAGAACAATCTATTTTATCATACGAAAAAGCATTATGTACAAACACTACAAATTTCAAGCCATAAAGAGCTAATTTAATTGGTTGCATAAGTTCTGACTTTAAGGTTGTCCACTCACATTATGATGACATTCTGCCTTAGCCCAATGGGTTAGAATTGTTTAGATAGGTTTTGACTGGTCGAAGCCTGTTTTAGCTGGTTTAAAAATGGCGCAAAATCGGGGTATATGACGAAATGAGTTACATTTTCAACTCTGGCGACTATTTGGGATTTATTGGCACCTAAAGATGCTAAGTGTTCATTGCTCATCTTTTATCATCTGAGCAGCTGATGTCTCAAAATGATATTCAATGACAACACCTGTATGAATTGATGCAACCTCTTTTCAGTCTCTTATATTAGTACTTTATAGAGTTTTCAAGTCGGAGCTAGTTAGATATTCTGCGATAAATATCTGTTTTAGCCTATACACTTCTGTTTGTCTTTTAATTATCTCTTCTCATTTTAATGGAATGTTTTGTGTTTATATGTTAGGATCAGTATTCCCTTCGTCGAGCTCAACTGTCTTACCGGGGTCTAGTTCAAATTCACGAAGAAAGTGGTTGGTATACTCCACCGAAATCAGATGGTTAGTCTTGCCACTATGTGTTTAATGATCCTCATACCGCCTTTATACATGTGCAAACACATCTGGTGATCAATAACGGCCCGCTAAAAAAATATCAACTATACTATATAAATTTTTATGAAATACACAAGTCTTTTCATCATATGAGGAGAAACTGGGTGGATCAGTTTTGCATTTCTGAACATAATTTGTGTTGTGTGTTTCCACTGCACACTTGTGCATATCTTCTTCATATTTCCATGATTTTTAAGCCTTTTATTCCTCTAAACATTATTAAAGATGAGCTACATTTGTATATTGTTTATACTTACTTGTATACTCTTCTAGTTATTTGCTTAATATCTCTCTCTCTCTCAGTTGTCATTATATGTGTTCTTTTTGTAAGTCCTGCTCCATATCATTAAATGATATCTACTGAAATAACATGTTTAATGTGTTCTGTGTCTTCATTATGTGATCTCTTGGTGTTTTTTACACTTTGTTTTCTTTTGTTTTAGTCAGTAGAAAAAATGAATGTCTTTTTATTTGTGATCTCTTCCAGCCGTTTTAGCCCATCTCTCAATTCTTTTACGCATGTAAACATGCATAAATTTAAATATTCCGTCTAACCATCATTAGTCCGCCTACTATGTATAATAAAAAAAGGGTGAATAGTAGGGCATGAAAGAGACAGACAGAGAGATGCAGATAAATTGTCTGCTAGTCTGTCTTCTCTTTGTTAACCACTGCTTTCTGTGCTTCTTAAAATTGAGTAAAATAAACAATCAAAACTGTTTAACAATCCCTTTGAATCATCCTATTCATATTCTGATTGTATTTTTAATTACTTAATATCAGTTATATATCTGTATCATTAGTATTACGATTCTAGCCTTTGTGTTGTGGTTATTATCAGAGTTTATCTTCTGCTTGATCTTTTCTGGACAAGAGTTTACAATAATAGTTCTCACATGTACTTTCATCAATGTATTCTTCTCTTTCTTTGATTTTTGGCGAGGTTTTTTTTCCCCGTTGTTCATTGTTGGGTTCGTGGGTGGCTGCATGGGGGCAGGGAAAGGGGGCAGAGGGTTGACAGTGAGTGATATTGAAAACCAGAGGAATTTTGAATCTAATCATAATGTCTTATACGGCATGAAACTCTAGTTCTTGCTTGACGTTCTCCTAAACTACTCATTGAAATAATATCAGTAGTAAAGTGTTTACCTTCGTAGTAGGTGTTCATGGTTTTCGTAATGACTTTATTATAATAGATACCATGATATTGTTAATGGAATGAAATTCACGTTTAATATTTATTTTGTTCATCGGCTTATGATACACTGGCTTTTTTCTAATTCTACTGTTCGATGTTCGTTTTATCACACCTTATGTGTCACTGAGTTGAGCGCAAGTTGATTGTGATCCGTGAGATGTGTATAACTAACTTGTGCCGGGATTTTAGAATTCGTACAATTGATGAGAATGAGTAAATATATGATTCATTGGCTAAACAGCTCTGTCTGCAGATAGCGTGTCCTGGGTTCGAGTCCCGTTCAATCTGGGCAACCTGGCAATATCATCAGTCTTCACATAATAAGTGTGATTCTTATTCCGGTAAATGGGAGATCTCTCCTGAGCAATTGAGTTCTGGCAAGGTGAGCACGAAACCTAAAGAATGCTGTGTGAATTGTAGTGATAAAAACCACCTTCATCAATGTAATTAATCAGTCGAAACCTCTGACGTAAATAAGCATGCTCCGCCTATAAGTAATTCCCCTTATAGTTTTTGGTTACTAGCAATTAGATCACTATATATTTAGTGCCATCTGAAAAGAATCAAGTTATACAAATGGTAATGGTTAGCAGCGGAATTCATGATTTGTGCTTGACACCGACAAACATCAGTGGTTACTTTCTTCGTCAGTAAGTGCATATGATTGTCATTGATCGCTTATCATAATAAGGTATTCACTAAAGGCACTATCTCGGTGACAGTACGAGTGGTACGTATACAAATTGAAATCGACCTAGTCATCCTAGCAAATGTTAGTCGATGGTTCAGTGGTAATCTCTAACCACACACTCAGTTTGAGTTCGATTCCCATTCGACGCATTCTTTTATCTTGTGCAACCTGACCGAAAGTAAAGGTTTTGCGTGAGACTAGCTTCTCCACTCTGCAAAAAATACCACCACTGTGGAAACTTCAAAGCTCAAGCTCGGTGTCCTATGTTCCACTCATAACACAAAAGAATGAAAAACAGTCCTGGAAATGGTCTAATGTGCTACTAATAGACAGGAGAATCAGATTACATTCTCAATCCATCGAAAACAAATCGCAGTTATGTTTGATTAATGACAAGTCAATTAGAGCAGTTGGTTGAAGGTTGTTGTTAATTCTCTTGATTCAAGACTTTTTTGAGTATCACAGTTGGATCTGAATTATCATGCTCATTTATTCGTATTAGTATGTTGTTTTGTTGTGTATTTCCGAAACCTCAAAACATCTGAGTACCAGGTACCCATGACAAACGAACGAAGTTGCACGTGAAGATTATATAAGACACTTTATTTTAGTGTTCCAGATATATGAACTGAAGGGAGTATAAAAATGTCTGCTTTTTAGTTTAAAGTCCTAGTGTAACGGTAGAAGACGAAAGACTTGGTAAAGGAATGTTTATTTGAAATTTAGTATCACTATATAGCAAAATTACGCATGCCTTATCTTCAAATCACCTTTTACACAGATCTTCCGTGCTGTGCCTGCGACTTATGGCCTTCATATTGTGTTTCTATGTGTTCCTTCCATGCATCTCCGCAACGCTGCATCACTTGCTTTCTCTGACATCAAATGTATCTTCCTGCTATTTGATATTTGTATGCCGATGAACGTCCGTACATACTACTGATAAATCATATCAGTAGCACATGCTACACTATTAGCTGTTGATTTTCTTTAATTGGCTTCTGCAAGGATTTCTGATACTTATAAGTAGTAATGATCATCTCCCGTGCTTTTAATATCTTGTTTTCAATTGTTCAGGAAAATTATAGAAAACGTAATATTAATTACTGATCATTGTGTGAAACCCCAACTTTTATAGAGTCTTCGAATAACTTGTAACCTTATTTTCAGTGTCCTCTTATATTCTGTGTTTGTTCTTCTTCTGTAATTCTTTCGAAAATGACTAGGCTTGCAACACTGACTACATTACAGTGACCAAACATTACAGTCCTACAGAATGTCAATCCTAGTTCTGAATAGGTTAGTGGTAACGTCTCCAGCTGCAGTGCTAGTTGGTACGCTTTTAAATTTTAGTCAGGAACATCAGTTACTTCGTGCTTAATTGTCAATAAGCCAAAGATCAAGGACCATGGCAATTGCCTCCAACTATCTAACGTGTATTGCTTTTGATTTCTGTTAGTAAGGACAAGCAGTTATTGAAGTGAAGTATATTTCAACTGTTTTTGACCAGTAGATGATGGGACATGGATACTGCAACACGGATTTCTACAGTGTTTCTTTCAGCTAGGTTATTTTGCCTCCAGATGTTAGATTTCACAGTCTGCATGTCTGGCTTTTTATCACTCAGCGATAGTATGACTCCCTTGTTTAAGGCCACAGAATTCAAAGAAACGAAGCCTATATCTTAATTTTTTTTAAAATACGATGGAATTTTCAAGTGAATTTTATACCACGTACATTATCCCATATCCGGTTGTTAGAGTTTACGTGACACATTTTCAAAATGATTTGTGGCTCAACACTTAGACTGACACTGAATACTTTGCATGCATACAAACATGTGAATATTTAATGAAAAGTCGGTTATATCGGTGATACGTGTATTTACTTATAAAGGTACACAGAAATAAACCACATCTATCAGTGCGCTACTGAGCTTTTGTTGTACCATTTTCATCCTTATTTTGTGTTATGGGTGCTAATAAGAACTCCAATGCTGCCAATAATTTCTGACTTTCTACAAAGGGAAATGATAAAAATTAGAAAACAATGTAATCATACACATTCTTTTGAAGTTATTAAGCATTCATTACACACTCTACGTATAAAGTCATCACTAGAATGTTTGTGCACAAATAGATTGGTTACACTGACCAGTGATAATTTCTTTTTTTTTAATGGAAATGATCTTACTTCAGTTTGATTCGGTGAAATTCCTGGTCGCTAGCATAATGAATGAGTTAAATGCACACCCGTCTGATGACTCTTAAATATAAGAACAAAACATTTCAGCGAAGAGTCTCTTTTCGGCGAATTCATTCATTTAGATGTTCAATCGCATCTATAGATAATTATTTTGTGTGTGTGAGTACGTCAGGATTGTCAATTTGTTTCAATAATGTGACTAATAATCAAACTACCTAAGGGGAGAGAAGATTGGTAAAGGTTGCGTAATATGAAAGATACCCGGAGAAATAGGATATTAATGAAAGAGAATGGCGACATGTTTCTAAAATAAATTATGTACTAGAAAGAGTAAATAAAGGGTTGGTTATGAAAAGGATGTTACTGAAAAGTAATACAAAATTTTTTTTCAAAAACACTTAACAAATTGCTGGAGCTTGGAATAATACCCAAGATAAAAGGAGGGGATGGAGAAGTTTCACCTGTGTGCATAAATCAGGCTTTTCTATCCGGATCAATAAGGCCTCGGCAATACAAAATATGCGGAAGCTTACCATTTTCAGCGGGAGGCTTCTTTTGACTTAGTAGATAACTTTGAATGGATTCTCCTGGTATATTGAGTGACCAGTGTTGAATATATATGTTGACTCACTGCACTCCTTATTGACCCTCTGTTACTTCTTCGTAACCAAGTAGAATAATGTCTTTTGACTCTTTTAGATTAAACACGCATTGAACGACCTATATATCTTGCTCCACATGGTCGTATGCGATAGTTTATCTTTGGAGTTGCTGAAGAACATTGGGCAGCTTGAGAATACTGATATGTACCCACATGATGTGTGTTTTGTTTTTGACAGTCTATTATATTTTGCTATGTGTATATGGATCGATATTTCATTATAACTGACAATATGCTTTTGTCCGTCCACTAACTAAATAAACATGTATGACCTTATTATCACATAACATTACAACCAATCGTGGTAAGACGTTATCGTATTGGTTCATGTGTATTAGCCATTTTCATGTATACTTTTGTATTAGATTCTTGTTCACACACTTTCGATATATTGATCTCTTTAGAATTCCATCAGTCTTCTTTGTTAGTTGGCCGTCCAGAAATGGGATTGTCTCTCCGGTTTCTGCTTCAACTGTAAGTTTGATGACTGGGTGGCAGCTATTAAAAACTTGAAGAACATTATTTAGGTCGCATTTGTTATCACAGATGATAAAAATGCCATCAACGTACCTTTTGTTCAGAGAGAAGTTATCGGTTTCAAGGTAGAATACTGGTCTGCTGTTGGTTTATAATTGTATGAATATTAGGGATGTTATATTTACGCTGAGTCCACTTGTTTAGCAATCGATGAGCTATGTACTTTCAAATCTTCTTTATGGATTCATTTTGTTGTTCGTAGCTTTCTTCAGTCACACTGAATAGCGGAAGATTGCAGTGCTTCTGTTTGATGTATCATTTTACTGGCAACAGTTTAGGTAACTAGAAAGAATGGCAACCAACGAAGTTACCCTGAATGGGCCTATCGAAATCGTCCTAAGTTCACAAAATTGCGAACTTATTTGCAAGTTCAGAATCTGATTTATGGTATCAGTGTTGTTTGAACTGGTTCAGCTCTCTGAATTAGATCGAATCGGGTTCACCGTTGATGAGTCCAGTCCCAAGCAAGCGAAACGGCTTAGCAAGCGAGGCACTACTGGCTGATGCAAATGGTATTCAACTACTCATCTCAATCAATCAGTCGTATATACTTTAATGTCTCCCAATTTCCCATAGGAGTGGTTAGTGACGTTTGAAACCAGTTTCTATACACAGATCTGTATAAACAAAATCGAAATCATAGGAATTCCATTTTTAGGGTCAGAAAATCTGTGGAATAATTCACTTTATCATAAATACATCCCGATGACGACAGATGAGAATACTCACTCCACTGGTCAGTTCGAGTAGTTTTTCCCCAGGACGACTATCAGTTGCATCTTGCTTGTTCATGGTCATTTTTTCACCTGTCGTTGAGTTCGATTGCTATTGATTATAGTTTCTGCAGATTGTATATGATTTGTGGGTTTTCTGTTGAATGATGCCCACTACCATACAATTTTGGAACGTGGCAACTCGAACTGCTGCACTTCGGTGCCAAGTTCTATGTTGAATCCAGACAGACCATACAATACAGCCAGGGCTAAATTTCAGTAATTCTTTAGGTTTTGACCTGATTTTAGTTGGTTTTTTCGACAGATTTAAAATGACGCGTCTGTTTGTTTACGATAATTGTTACTTAGTAACAATATAAGATTTCTAGGCTATTGGGAAGGAATCTATGTAAGCTCTCAGTTATACTTGCCAACTGAGTGACTAACCACAAATACTCTGTTTGATAGTTCTGTTGTTTCAGAAATTCAGTTCTTATCTACAGGACATCTGATATCATCAAAGACGTCATCTTTGGCATTATTCGAAACCATAACATGTCAGCAAACTAATAGACAACTTTATTGTTTCTAAAAAGTATTATCATCCCCGATTTCGTACTGTCTATCAGTGCATGCCACTATAACGGTGTTACGTATTAGTGGTAATCAATAGGCATAACCACCGATGTTAGAACAATAGAGAAAGTGAAAATGTAAACTTTTTTTAAGTAGCTAGAAAGAAAATATCTAGTCATAGTCCTATCATTATTATTACCTCTTATTCCCTTGGGTCCTGAGTCAGTATGTCTGTCTGTTTTCCATATAAAACTTTGCACATATGTGCGCCAGTTCAAGTCTCCACACTCCCTCCATGTAGCACACAAAGCAAGAGAAGAAATGCATAATAGAGACAGTAAACAGAGGTGTGAGACAAAGGAATGGTAGTAACGAAGAACAAAACAGTTCCATTCGAAATCATAAGTCACAAGTAGTGGATGCATCTGTGCCATTGAGAACGATTTTGAGCCATATCACCAATTGTTTCCAACCATCGGTTTTTACCGTCGCGAGGACCCCAACCAGGAAGTCTACACCTTCCTACGTGGCTTAGACTAACTGAGTGAGTGGAACACAAAGATTCAGCAATACATCTGTATTTCATTTTATTCTCTGCAATCACTTTTTAGCTGGCTCCACCAACGCGTAACTCGTCGTCACCTAGGTCCCATTCGTGCTCTACTCTATGATACGTCTGGCGTAATACCACTCAGCAGTCGTCTCCTTAGTGTATGTCCGATCCATCTCTATATCCTTCTGTATATTTGTTTGGCAACATGTTCTTGATTAGTTCGTTCCACCGTATGGATTCTTGTTGCGTATCTTTTCTGGTAGGTAATCTGAACTTCAGTATCGACCGAGGGTAACTATTGATGGAAGTCTGCATTCTGTTGGAAGTAAAATGCGCGTTAAGTCTCTGAACCATGTAGAAGGACTAACTTAAAATTAGTGTTGAGAATGTGGATCTTCTCCTCTAAACAGAGTGTTGTAGATTTCTAAAACTGATTGATTATTTGTTTCAGATACTTTTCCCAGTACAATGATAAAATGCTACTCTATGTTAAGTCCTTGATGTATTTTTGAAGATCACCTTTGTAATTATTCCTTTTAAAGGGATACAGTGGCAGGGTCGATGATTAACGATAGTGAAATGCGCATTATTAATCCCCTTCATGGGTGTATCTAAACTTAAGATTTCTGAAGTATTAGCGAATCAATCATACAATTTCCAGTCGAAGATTACCAGAAGGTAACTTGTGTTGATAAATGTAAGTAGTTGTTGAAGATGACTAGTATGAATCAATGACTGATACTCGTTCAGTAGGTGATCTCCACACACACACAAACACACACCAGCTACTTGGCAAGTGAGATTTTATTCTCTAGGTATAAAACAAGCAAGTATTATTTACACAGTATTCTCGTTTCATAGTGAAAATGATATCTAAACTCAAAGGAAATTTATGATTTCTAGTGGAAACATATGATTACAGTTTTGGAATAAAAAAACCCCATTTACAATGAGATACTTTTAGTAATTCTTTTTTATCAAATGGTGAATTTTAGTATTCAGTTGATAAAATGTGTATAAAAATCAAAATCAGCAGAAAGATGCTAACATTGTAAATTTAAAACAGTTAGTTCCCTTTATGAATTTAGATAAAGACCCACTCTACAACTCGCCCCTAAGAAAGACGTGTACATCAAGCTACCCTATATGGGGCATCATAGCGGCTTGATAACTAGACAAAGACTGAAGACTGCTGTTAAAATGACTTTTTACGCAGTTAATATCACAATAATTGAGAATGTGAAGCCAATATATCCATCCATCTAAGCCCTTTGAACATGCGAAAAATGATGTCACATCCCAGTGTATTTACCAATTTGAATGTACGTGTAGACACACAGACATAGGGAGGACTCATCGATCTCTGCAAGTAAGAGCTGGCTTCAGAGCATATTCCTAAATGGCTCCAAAAGCCATTAGAATCTTCAGAACCCATTAATGCTGAGAACATGAGACCTAGCTCCCATATTGCGAAACATATTATAGAGACAGGGCATAAAATTGACGTTAACAGATCTTATAAACCTATCTATAATACGTGTTCGGGGCGTATCTTAAACTTTTTGGAATCCCTAGCTAGCAGTTAGGAAGTTTAAACCACCCTTATGCGTTCAGAAACAATTCGTCATCACAGTAAACCTTTCTTGGTAAACTTTGTTTTGATACTATTACCTCTGTCATTTGGTTTAGTGGTCTTCATTGTTATTTTGACCTTGAATGTATCCTTTTAACTTGACCTAAGTGTCTATTTTCTCACACTGCAACTCTTTATT